TTGCTGGGATTACCTTGGGCGTTGGCGGTAGGTGCACGTCTGCATTTCGATTCGAAATAATTGGTGCTCACACAAACTGGGGGAAAGCCTCAGACTGTTCCTTTGTGGGTTTCCACCCGAACGATAAAACGGGTTCCTAACTCGCCCCAAATAGGGATGATCCGAGGCATTGATCCCGAGGAGTGCTCCCCCTCGCGCCTCGGGGATAGAATCAGGGAACGATAATATGAAGAAGAGATGCCCAGTAAAGAGGAATGGAAGCATCTGGTTGAACTTTTCGTACATGAAACCCCCGAAGAATTTCGAGTGTGCCCCGACACCGCTCGAAGCTTCCACGTGGATTCTGAAGACAGTGCATTCACGCCTCTAACAACCCTGGTCAGTCCTTTTGTCCTCCTCGGGGAACCCATATTACAAGTTTCCGATCTGGCTGATGATTTGGAACCCCCTCGCACCTTGTACGAGGGAGCTCTTTCCTTACGAACGCGTTATCAGCAAACGAAACAATATTTGGACGTTTCTGTTTTTCCAACCCGATCATTACTAACGACAGGACCCATCATCGCCTTGATTAAACAAGAAGCGGAAGCACCGGTAAGTGACGTGCCGAATTTAATGCAAGAAATGATGGATCTAACAGGGCTAACTGTGGAACCGACTTCGGTTGGTTCAGAGACTGATGCTGAAACTAAAGAAACGGAGATGATAAGCCCCGCTCAGTTCCAGATGATAGCAACTGTCTTTTCTGTTCGCACCAGTAGTTCCGTTTTCTCTAGTGTCCATGAGCGGCGGGAACGGCCGGTTGATTGGATCGATATGCCCCTTAATATGTCCGGGGAATCGACGATCCCCCTCCCGAGTCACGTTCCCGCGGAACTTCGGAAGTCGTTAATCTGTGTATTGAATGGTTACGCAGAAGTGCTGAGCGTGAATGGCAATGATATTGGGTTAACTAATGTAATTGAACATGTCATTCTCACGGGAGATTATCCGCCCGTTAGCTGCGCTCCCTACCGATACTCGCCAGCTCAACGAGCGGGCACCTTTCAGCGGATTAAGGAGTTCGAAGCTAATGGATGGATCGAACCCGCTATAGGACCATGGTCTTTTCCTGTAGTGATAGTACCCAAGAAGGCTGGGGGGATTCACATTTGCATTGATTATCGAAAGCTGAATGATATCACGATTAAGGATGTGTATCCCCTCCCCCGGATTGATGAGTTATTGGATGTGATTGGGAGTGCTCGATTCTTCAGCAAGTTTGATGTTCGTCATGGGTTCCATCATCTTCTTGTCCAAGAGGAAGATCGATCGAAAACAGCGTTTGTGCTTTTCGAAGGCACGTGGCAATGAATTCGATGTCCGATGGGTATTTGCAATGCCCTGCAACTTTTCAGTGGGCCATGAACATGGTTTTTCATAATTTCGTACGGAAGACTCGTTTGGCACACAGCATCATCAACTACTGCGTGATTGTGTACATGGATGACATCCTAGTGTATTCGAGTTCCTACGAGGGACACGTGCAACACATCGAATGGGCACTGCATGCGTTACGAGATGCAGGTTTCAAGGTGGCGCTTGAGAAGTGTCAGTTTCTCCTCACCACCATTTCTTTCCTGGGGCACGTGGTGACAGACAAGGGACTCCAACCGGAGCCGCAGAAGGTGGCAGCTGTCAGGGATGCGCCAGTGCCTACCACTATCACGCAAGTTCGCGCCTTTCTGGGCCTAGCTTCGTATTACCGAAGATTTATCAAGGGTTTCGCGGAGATTGCGGGACCCCTCACAAATCTTCTGTGCAAGGATCAACCGTTGATCTGGACGCCAGAGTGCGATCAAGCGTTTTCCAAACTCAAGGCTGCTCTCATTTCGGCTACGGTCCTTATAAGACCGGATCCCGAAAAACCTTTTGTTCTCATCACCGACTGGCAGCCAGAGGCAATTTCGGCGATCCTTGCCCAGGTGGGACCAAGCGGACTCGAGAGTGTGGTGGAGTATGCGTCCAAATCAGTACCCGCCTGCAAGCGCAACTTCGCCGCTCCGACGGGAGAATGCTATGCGGCTCTCTGGGGAATCAGTCACTTTCGTGCTTACCTGTATGGGCGAAAGTTCACCCTGGTGACTTGTCATGAGCCCCTGTTGGCTCTGAAGAAGTCGAAGGATTACTCGGGCATGATTGGGCGATGGGCAATGGTGCTGCAGAGCATGGACTTTTACATTCGTCATCGGAAGCACGAGAGACATGGGAATGCGGATGAATTGACACGACTGCACCGACCTGAGAAAGTTCCGAGGAATGAGGAGGTGATTCCGTGGAACGAACCCGAGCAGAAGATTGGACCTCGGTACGGCCAAGTGGAGATTTTGTCGAAGCAGTAAGTGACACGAGGACTAATTTGCCTGCTCTACTCTCTCCACAATTCAGTCCCATCTCTCCCCTTCTGTCATCATGACTACCCCGTCTGCCTCCACAATCCCTTCTTCTCCAACTAATTCTGCCCCTCGTACTTCCTCAGCTTTCTTCAACACCCTCCCTGATAAATTCTGCTATTTTTGCACCTGTATTGCATGGGTTTACGGAGTCGACTGTCATCCCTTCGAGACCGGGTTTGTCGATTGGGTGGAATGTGCCACGTGTGTCAATCGTGCGCACGGAGCCTACGTTTGATATCGAACGAGTAACAAGGAATGGAGGTGCCCCCTGTGTAGAACGAACAAACTCCCCACTGAGGTTCGATTCGAGGCCGCCCGTACGGACGGTCCTGAATACGACGAAAAATACCGACGGGCGGAAGTCTGGACGGATAAAATTTTATTGGCGAAATTAGCGGGATTATCATTGGGCCATCTCACCAAACACGAGAGATGTAGGGCGACCGAGAGATCTTGGGACTATCGATGGATCAACAGTCATTTGGAAAAGCGTAAAACTGACGGATCAGGTTCGTGGCTGACAGTTCCCCATCCCTTCCAGAGATACGATTGGATCCGATCTGCTCATGAGGAACAGGCCGCTCATTTCGCGATATGTGTCACGGAGGCAACTATAGACAAGAATCGATGGTTCTGGTTCAATATACGAGATGATCTCAAATACATTGTCGCTAACTGTCTGGTCTGTGCCACTGATCGCGCCCGTATACGGGGACCAAACACGATCGTGTCAACGGAAGTAGAGCGTCCTTTCCAGCGAGTCAGTATGGACACGACAGATATTGACGTGCCACCTTGCCCAAATAGCTGTGAATATTCTAGCCTGTTAGTATTAATAGATCATTTTTCCAAGTACATCGAGGTCTATCCCTGTAAGACCCGAAAAGCCGCAGAAAGAGCCACGTACATCGAACGGTTCCTCTATACCCATCTAGATACTAAAGAAATTCTAACCGACAATGGATCTGAATTTAAAGGTGAGGTAGAAGAACTACTTGCGCAAAGGGGCGTCACGCTCCGACATACAGCACCCCACGTGTCCAAGTCGAACGGTTTGGCCGAGAATGCCAACCGTATGATTAAAACCGCCCTTCGCAGGAACTTAGCGGCACACGACACGCGTCCGTGGCCCGAGATCGTATATCAGATTGTCGACATCCATCGGGCCACCCCTCACGAGTCTACGGGGTTCACCCCCTTTCAGCTTCGAACTAATAGCCTCCCCTGTGTTGATTACCGGGGTAACTCGAAAATTGCCGAAGCAGGGGGTAGAGACACGCGTGCAGCCCTCAAGGCCAAGGCCAAAAGGTACACTGATTTGATGGAACGGGCCGTCCCGAAGCTAGCCCGAAAAAGGCAAAGAATGACCGAGCTGGCCCACGGTAGACAGGTCCGTAGCTACGAGGCCCGGAACGGAAATGCTGGGCCCCAGTACCAGTATAAATTGGGGGACCTAGTGCAGGTACATAAATGTGCACGCGACCGGAAACTCGCTCCCAAGTTCTCTGGCTGTTTTCGCGTTGTCGAACTCGGACCCAACGGCGCTAACACGGTGCGCATCGAGCCTGAGGCTAGCGCCAGCCATAGCTCCGTCCTCATCGTCAGACATACCTCCTACCTCTGTCTCCTTCCTCCTTCCGATTTTCCTCCCTCTTCTTCCTCGGAAAGCGAGGAAAACGACGACGATCTAACCCTCTCTCCTCTTTCTCCCTCTTGTCCCTCGTCCTCCTCTCCGACCTCGCCATGAGTTTAATCATGGAGCGGGTTCTCGACGCACAGCTGCGGCAGCCACGTGGCCATATCTCAAGGATCCGGCAAGTTTGTCACCCTCGGCTCAATATGGATCTCCGCCGTTTGATGCGATTCTCTTGCACCGAAGGTATCTGTGCCGCCGCCGCGTTTCGGATAGAAGGAAGCCCTCACGCGATAGTGTTCGCGGAGGTTACTGCAGTTCATCGGTGAGCGGGTCCCAGAACGAGCCACGTCACCACAGTGGCGGCATTCACCGGCGACATCAGCTCGGTCAATCCGCTGCGGCATACCGCGATCTTGGCCTCGATGCGCGAGTGGACGGAGCAAGTGTCCAACGTGTGGCAGCACGTCCTTGCCCGAGAGGGGTATAACATCATTCCGATCTTTGCATTGGACCTTGACGGCATTCGCCGATCACCGCGCGAGCGGCCAGTTGCGATCCCAACCCTCGTCCCCTTCCCCCATCCCCAATGAACCACGCCAATTTTCTCGCCCCTCTCACTATCTTTGCTCTCCCCTCTCTCTTCCCCACCTTCTGGCAATCCGATCTCCACCCTTCTCTCTCCTTCTCGTTCGAACCTCTTTCGGTCCCTCTTATCAATCCTGGACATTGGTGGCTGTGGAGAGAGACTTTTGAGGAGTTGTCCTTCTGCCTGACCCGAGTACAAGTGAAGTGGACGCGCACTATCGAGCACCCCACGTGGATCGAGAATCCAGAGCTGCTGATCATACAGGGTTGGAGGACTAACGCGGAAGGATATCTTATTGGATTCCTCTTTGGATCGGTACGACTGGGTCGCCGTCAGTTGATTGCATAGGAGCTCATCACACCGATCGTGCAGTTGGCAGACGATCTCTCACCCGACATCTACGTTCAGAGCGACAACAGTCCTGCTCCGTACATTTTCGAGCGATCCTTGGATCCGTACCTTCAGTGGACTTCGTGCTTGGAGGAACCTAGGGACGAGGATACGCTACCATCGCGCCAGGAGTATTTGAAGTCATACGAGATCATCCCTCACGCCTTCTACCCGAGGGCAGAAGAAGTGATTGACGACGACGATGACGAAGAAGAAGACGACGACGAGGAGATATCAGAGGAGGGAAGCCATAGTGAACATAGCGAGGGCGAGCTGAGTGAGGAAGAAGAAGGAACCGGGTCCGAGTGGGAAGCCCCGCCGGAGGAAGCGACGCGTACGGGAACGGAGGCGGAAGATCCGGAAGCGGCGCGAAACCGCGAATAGATTGCCTCTGGAAAGCGCCAGCTGGAGTTCGCTAGCGAGGCTAGCCTGCGCATCGGTAGCGATCCGACCAGGGATCCAGAGCCGCCGAGGCCCAAAGATGGCGACCCTGTAGCCGCCACCTCAAGTACCGCGCGACGGAGACGACGCCGATCCCCCTCCCCCTCCAGCCCCACCCGTCCCCCAGTTCGCCCACGTACCAATGCGGGCGATAGGCCTTCGACCTCGGACGCTGTCCCGCCGACCCCTTGATTTTCTCACCCTCGAGCAGATCCGTACCCCCGTCACCTTCCCTTCCCATCCTTTCCATCCCCATCTCTTGCGCGACTTCTACTCTACCCGTCTATTCGCCACCGTCCACCCCCACGCCTCCCTTCAGTCCGCTGCTCCCACGTTCTGCTGGCATCTCATGCTGTTCAGCGCTACATGGGAGCAATGCAACGTGGTAGAAGTTTATTGCATCGCCACGGGGACAATCCCCGCTTGCCGCCACTTCGAGATCTTTCGAGCGGCGCTTTTCCGTACCCCCTCCTCCTTCTATCATGACTACCTTGCCTCCCTCCCCCGCAGTGGCTATCATTTTCCCCGCTTCCACCGAATCATCCGATATGAGGAGCTCCCGGTGACGATGGAAGGGATGAATCGCTTCCTACCCCCACTCCCCCCCCGTCATCCCCGCGAGATCCCCGGCATGTACCGCCTCTACTGGCCTATTCCAACTAGGCGGTAGATCCCATTCACTTGAACCCCCCCCCCCTTTTTTTTCTCTCCTCCCTTCATCGGCACGAATCGGTAAGCTTCGCGAAGATCACGCCATCAACGATGACGTCAACCTACGCGCTGATTCGACAGACGACAACAAGCAAGGGTGCAGAGCACACGGAGATCAGGTGGACCATGATGGCGTCACCTGAACGATCTCCACGAGGTAGAGGGTTGCATATGACAGGGCTACAGAGATCTTGCCACGGATGTTGTCGCCATCTCATCCGCGGCCCAGTTATCGTTCCTTGTACTTCTTTCTGCTCTGTTGATACGCTTGGTTCCTCATGCATCACTCTGTTCTCCCCTCTTCTTTTTCGCCATGACATGCAATCAGGAGATCACATAATTTTGGAACCCCCTGCGCGTCACATATGTGACGAACCACTTCCCGACCCCGTGCCATCTTTCGTACCCTTTCTTTTGCTTGTATCATACCAACCCCAGGAAAACCCCGTTTTGAGTTCTTGCTTTCGGGTGCCGCATTTTCCTTTTTGAGAGTTTTTTCGACTGCTGAGTTTTGTTTTTCTTCTTGCAAAGTCTGGAAATACATGGGAATTTACGTGCGCCTTAGCGAGCGCACTAGGAATTGGGCTCGGTAGTTGGTAATTCCGGGATAAGCGGAACTTCGACGTGTCCTTTTTGGGTGTGTGAATGTTCTTGGGCGCGTCGGGGAAAACTCTCGGAATTTTGCGTGAATACGAATAGGCGTAGGGTTTTCTTTTCCCGCGTCGCTTTTTCACGCGTGGATATGGTGATTTCAATTTTGAATTAGGA